ACCTTGCTGTGCTAGCTTTCCAAGGGCAGAAAACCTTGAAGTGGTACCATACCAACAAAACTGTAACGTATGATTTCTCTAAATGCAAAGATTAACACTCAAGGCAAACAGATCACCTCTCTTCGGCAAGCATCTAAAAGTACACACAGCACCTGTATCATGATTTAACTGAGAAGGCACAAGGTGAAAATCATGAAGGAATATAGAGATAAGCAGAGGAAGTAAACTACATTTCCTTACCTAAATCCAGAAGATGTAACATTTATTCCAGCACTAGATTCTCCATGCCATGGAATCATTTCGCATGATGTAGAAGCTCTAGTAACTCCTTGTAAAACAATTTGTTGCATTTGCCTGCCAGGGCACTTCCAGGCTATTGGTATTTTGGGGATAGGATTTAGTCACAAACTGGCAAATTTGGGTTGTGCAGTTAAAGCCGATGTAGAGGTCTTATGTAGCAAACCAGCTTCCCTCAAAGATCAGGCTGTTTGCAAGAAGGAAAGTGATGAATAAATTCACTTAAAAGTGTGGGACTGAAGGAACTGCCATCCAACCTCCCCACAGAGTGGACGCTCATCAAGTAGCTAATGTTGGCTACTCTCCCAGCAAAGGTATCGTGAACATTGTTTGATAAACAGGCCATCTGGATGCACCCACCATGACATCACATATACACCTTGATCTCTTTCAGAACTTCTAGATTCTCAAGGATGTTCTCCCCTACCCTTCACTCTTGCCATTCCACAGTGTCCTATATATGGCAACAATAAGGAAGGAACTTGTTGACATTTCATTAGAACTCGAGAAGCAGACAGTACAAGAGAATGGTTGACAATCTGAGAGTCTGGTGGAAGCATGGTGCTAAAGCCCCACAAGACACAATGGAAGGACATGCAGACCTCCCACCCAGATTTCATTCAAAAGCTGTCATTTCAGGTGGCAGAGCCATGATACAAGTCCGGGGAGGCACTCTGTGTGCCCTCACCGCTCTATGAGGCAAGCCCTTGTCACATGACATGGTTGCCTCTCCAACAGTTATGTTCAACTGGAATCAAGAAGCACCAATCAAACCACATTAAGGCCCTAAGGGAGGGCCCTACTTTTTTGGCCACATCCCCTTTGGGGACCATGCTGACAATTGAAATGTGGTTCCGGGAAGACTTGGAATGGGGTGGCCATTAATCACCCCTGCCTTAAGCACAACCAGAATTTGGCAAGAAATAGAATGCACAAATGATGATGAAGATGAAGGTGATGATTTATATTCCTTCCCCCACCCATTCAGCTACTGCCCCACACAACCAGGTGGTCTCCTCGATCCCTCCTTTAACTGTTAGTGGTAATCTGTCAATGGTGCATACAGTAGAATGTTAAGATAATGAGTTATTATTATTAATGAATTATTAGGCCCTTTCCCATTCTCCAGCCCCATTCTCAGCCTCAGGAAATTACTAGAACTCCGTACTAATGAAGTGGGGGCAGGGAGAGAGAGATTTGGCCACAAAGCCATGCCTCCCAGCCAAGCAAGACTTCAAAGCAATGAGGAACAGACCTCGGGCCTCTGGATCACAAATACTATATTCCTCCCAAAGAGCCTTTGCTAAGAATACCCCAAGGTCTGGAGGAAATAATTTGTCTGTCTGGACATGAGGCTGGAAGCAAGACGCGACTCTCACGTTGCCTTGGTACAACCACATAGACTTGTCCCGATTACAGACAGCTTTTATTTCGGTAAAACCGTACGTAGCCCGGGAGAGCTAAGCAGTGTGTATGTCTGTATGTGTTGCTAGGAAAAGCCAGCTTCTATTATGTCTTCCCTCACTCCTTTCCCTGTGGTAGTTAGTTAGTTAGTTAGTTAGTTAGTTAGTTAAAAAACTCTGCCTTGCCATCCATTTCTTTGCTTTGAGCTTTACAACTGCTGTTTGAAGTCTCCTTTATTTTTATTTTTTAAGGGGGAGGAGAAACCTCTCTTTTTGTTTCCCCCTCCCTTTTTCTAGCCAGATCAAAGAAGCTTCCATTGTAAAAACATTTACTTCTCTTGCGGCAATTAAGTCATTGTGTGTGAGGAAGAAGGGGGAGGGGGTGTAGGGGAGAGGTGAAGAGAAGATGCCCTGAACTAGGGATTGACTCGCTTTGCTGAACAGCAGAGCAATAAAGCCAACTCTCGAGGCCCAGCCGATTGAGGGACAACAGTTGTGCATCTGCTCTTAAAGCGATGTTTCCCTGCAAGGCTTGCTGGGCCTTTGCTGGACCTTTTCAGTGGCATTCCAGGGAGGAATCATCTCTTGGGCTCAGCCATGGGGATAATATTGATGGATGCTGACAAAATAGCCTCAGTTCATTCTCTTTAATGTATCTTCTTGTTGGAACTGCAGCCACGGTTCCGCATCTCTAATGAATCTGATCCCGAGGATATTTGGATCACATTTGACCCATCTGGTGTTTGAGATGGGGAATGTTTCACGTAAAAGGTTATGAGGGAAAGCTTAGTGGAATCTGGCAATTCTCTTTGGTTGTTGTTTTTTATCGCAGTGTAAGAAGAACAGAAGAAGGCGGGCTTGTTCTTGCCGCTATCACCACTACCACTGTTATGACTGCACTGCAACTATTCCTGCTGACTCCTTTTGCCAGGAGGTCCTATGTTAAGAAAATGCAGTGAAGTATTTTCTTTCCCAACGTTGTCAAGTACACCACCAGGAAACCCACTGCAGGGCATGAGTGCTCAACCAGGAATGTCTCACAAGCACATACCCTCCAACATTTCTCCAATGAAACGTCCTATTCAATAATAAGAATAAGAATACCCTGCCCATCTGGCTGGGCAGCTTCCAAAATATATAAAAATATAATAAAACATTACACATTAAAAAAACTTCCACTATACAGGGCTGCCTTCAGATGGTTGGGGGTTGGATAACTCCATACCCTCCAACATTTCTCCAATGAAAATAGGGACATCCTAAGGAAAAGCGGGACATTTTGGGATCAAATCAGAAACCAGGACAGCTTCTGGAAAACGCATGCAGTGACAGATTTAGGGTGTTTCAGGTGGTTCTCCTACACAGGGCGCAGAGCTGAGGGGGCACAAAACAACAATAATAATAATGAAACCTATATTTATACAGTCACCCACAAGAAGAACCATAAAAAAGCAACAGTACCAAAGGGAACTGGTGTGAAAATAAGAAATATTTAAGGGGGGTACCACATTTTGTCCTCACTCAGGGCACGATAATACCAAAGTCTGCCCCTGAATAGATGCTGTGCTGAACGCACCTCTGAGCTTCTCTTTTGCTATTCATGCACAAGTAAGACTGCAGTTAAAGGTAAAGGTAAAAGGACCCCTGACTGTTAAGTCCACTCACGGACGACTCTGGGGTTGCGGCGCTCATCTCGCTTTACTGGCAAGGGAGCCGGCGTTTGTCCGCAGACAACTTTCCGGATCATGTGGCCAGCATGACTAAGCTGCTTCTGGCGAACCAGAGCAGTGCATGGAAACGCCGTTTACCTTCCCACCAGAGCGGTACCTATTTATCTACTTGCACTTTGACGTGCTTTCGAACTGCTAGGTTGGCAGGAGCAGGGACCGAGCAACGGGAGCTCACCCCGACGCAGGGATTTAAACCGCCGACCTTCTGATCGACAAGCCCTAGGCTCTGTGGTTTAGACCACAGCACCACCTGCATCCTGCAGTTAATGGGGGGGATAAACTTTAAAAGTTAAAGGAGTAAGTTTTAAAATCAAATGTACTCTGTAGACAATGCTGTTATTGCGTTTATATTAGAGACATGGGAAACGCAGAAAGAAAACAAAGGCAGAAATGGATCAATAAGAAAACTTATAAGAAAAAAAACTATAATGGGGCAATACTTTTATTAGTCAACCAAAATGACTCTTAATAGTAAGAGAGCTTCTGGGGCTCTCTCAAATTTTAAACAGCATTTATTGCCTGATTTTCTTCCATCGTGGAAGTCAAAGTAGCAGCCAGTGGTCCTCCATCCAGACATTGACCTGATTTAAACCTGCTTAACTTCAGCAAGGTAACAATGCCACGCACCCTCAGACCATGCTCTGAGATTTATGCCCTATCGTCACCATGCTTAGTGCATACCTAACACATCTCAATGTTCCAGTGCCTTCACAGACACTCTTTCAGAGGCTCTCTCAGAAATAATAAAACATAAGAAGAGTCCTGCTGGCCGAAGGACCATCTAATACAGCACTCTGTTCTCATGGTGGACAACCAGGAAGCTCAGGAGCAGGTCATGAGGACAACAGCATTCTCACCACCTGCTATTCCCAGAACCTTCAAAACAGGCCTGGAAAGTCAATGAGTCTTTGGGTTAATCCAGAGATGATTCAAAATATTTTGATGCCTGAAAGAAAGAGTCCAGATGGCTCTACCCCACATTCCACTAGCATTCAGGTGAATGCTGGATCAGCTGTCAATCTTGCTCTCCCCCTATTACTTAATGTGGGCTGTACAACATTGGGAATAGGATGGGATTAAGGCAATGCTTAGGGACGCAGGTGGCGCTGTGGGTTAAACCACAGAGCCTAGGACTTGCGGATCAGAAGGTTGGCGGTTCGAATCCTGCGACGACGGGGTGAGCTCCTGTTGTTCGGTCCCTGCTCCTGCCAACCTAGCAGTTCGAAAGCACATCAAAGTACAAGTAGATAAATAGGTACCGCTCCAGCAGGCAGGTAAATGGCATTTCCGTGCGCCGCTCTGGTTCGCCAGAAGCAATTTAGTCATGCTGGCCACATGACCCGGAAGCTGTACGCCGGCTCCCTCGGCCAATAAAGCGAGATGAGCGCCGCAACCCCAGAGTCAGCCACGACTGGACCTAATGGTCAGGGGTCCCTTTCCCTTTAAATGCAATGCTTGCACATTTATGCAATTAAAAATCCATGTGCTGTTATACAGATAGATGATGATAATGATAGGCAGGCAGACAGATAGATCAACCAGCTTTTTACAAACTGGGCTGAATTAAAACTGGGATAGCTCAGTCGGTAGAGCATGAGACTCATAATCTCAGTATTGTGGATTTAAGCCCCACACTGGGCAAAAGATTCTTGCATTTAAGGGGGTTGAACTTAGATGACCCTCATGGTCCCTTTCAACTCTACAGTTCTACGAAAGGTGAACTATGGTGTGAAATTTTCAACTAACCAGCGTTATGTTTGCTATACACAGAGCAGGACCCCAGAGAGAAATTTGTTTGCACAGGGAGTGATGGGTGGGCTCTTTGTGAAGGAGCCCCAGCATTCAAATAATTTTTTTAAAAATGTCTCTAGCCTAAGTGAACTTGTGCCTGATGCAAACTCTGGACATGTATTCTTATGCAGCATGCTATGCAATCTATCGTGCATGAGAACAGCTTGAGAACGGTGTCTGCATTTGCAAAATGATCCACATGTTTCCATTTTAGAGAGACAGTCTTCCACTATTATATTGTGTTTACATCACTCAGAAGTGATGCATTTTGGTAAAAATGGCATTTCAAATGTCAGGTTTGTAAAGGTCCTTTCTGCCTTCCATTTTTCGGATAAACCACATTTTTTTCTGTTTCCTCTAAATACGCCTGTTTCAGAAGGATCATCATAATATAAACCTCTATCAAGGCTTTTTGGCAGGGGTGGGTTTAGGGGGTTGAGGAAAGGAAAGGAGGATGCTTTGGATTTTGGAGGATTCAAAGTGCCAAGTCACCCGATGCCTGGAGTGGCAATTAAGGAAAAGCTGGGATTCACTCTGAAAACGGATCATTTTTTAGATTTATCCACAGACTCCGCAGGACGTAAGAAATAACAAATGTATCTGACACAATAATGGTGCCTGCCTTGTCCAGAGAGATTTGAGCACTGACCAGAGTAAACAGGAATGAAAGAGGCTCCTTGCTTTGAGAGCAGTGGAACTGCATTTAAAAAATAGGCCACAGTCTTCAGTGATTGGCTGATGAAAAAGAGAGCAAGAGAAAGGAGCAGGAAGGCAGAGGGAGGCCCAAAGCCAGAGATATTGTGCTCCTGGGAAGTCCGAGTACATTGAAAGAAACCCAAAAAGCTGCTTGGATAGCTCAGTTGGTTAATCTGCCTGGATAGCTCAGTTGGCTAAAGCGTGGTGCTGATAATGCCAAGGTTGCAGGTTTGATCCCCATATGGGGCAGCTGCATATTCCTGCATTGCAGGGGATTAGATGATCCTCAGGACCCCTTCCAACTCTACAATTCTATGCAATTCCTGTTGATTTAAAGCAGAGTCTGTCGTGCCCAGCGGAAGGATGAGGAGTACGTGATACATACTCTATATAGCTTTATTTACAGTTCAAAGCTGGTATATTACAGAAAGACATCTTGCCTCTGCCGGAGCAGAAAAATGCATCCTCTCTCCTCGACAGCTCGGAGAGAATCACTCAGTGAAAAACAGGAAACCAGTGTACGTCACATCCAGCCTCCCTTTCCCGTGAGAAACTCCAACAGTACAGACTGTGGAATGTAAACACCTGTCTCGTGACAAGCAGAGCTGCACAGTGAAGGAAAGCAGAAACCAACATCCTCCCCCTTCTGTGAACATCACTGGGCAGCGTGTTCGTACAGTATCAGTACAAACCCAACTTCTGCACATAGGTACAGTGTTGATCCCTTGATACAATCTTGGACAATACATCAGCAGGAATTTCATTACCTGGCATATAGGACACCGTTACGAGTCCCTTCTGAATACATTCCCTAGCATGCTGCAACTTTAATTGTAAGTGCTTTGTGCTTTGCTTACAACCTTCAGACTTCAGCAAAGCCAAACATGCTTTGTTGTCCTGGTAAACCTGGATTGGACATTTGACAGGAATTTTCATATCTTTGCACAATTGTACTAACCATTCACAATCCTTAAGTGAATAAGACAGTGCATTCAGTTCGGCTTCACAAGTACTAAAGCTAACTGTTGTTTGCTTCTTGCATGACCAATCAAACAGACTCTGATTGTACATGTAGCAAACTCCAGACGTACCTTTCCTGTCTGTAGCGTCACTTCCAAAACTTGCATCTGCAAATATCTCAAGACCACCAGACTTCTGATTGTTAAATCTCAGTCTGTAATGCATAGTGCCTTTCAAATACCGCGCTATGCGTTTCAGAGCTTTCCAATCCTTGACACTAGGATTGTTGACTTGTCTGCTTAGCAAATTACAGCTAACAGCAATGTCTGGTCTTGAACATCTGGCAATGAAGTTTAGCTTGCCTAGCACACTCCTGTACAGTGTAGTGTCAGAAAATGCTTCTTCAGTGTCATCTACCTGATAACCTGTTGTCATCGGTGTGTCTACAGGGTTAGCATCCATCAGATTTAGTTTGCTTAACACATCAGCAATTTTCCGTGACTGGTGTACTAGAATGTTACCATCTTGATCTCTCTCTATTTCCAGAGATAGGTAGTTGTTTACCTCACCAAGATCTTTCATGTCAAAGTGCTCTTTCAGTTGAGCTAGGGCGCTATTGTACATTGCAACATCTTTCCAAAAGAATAATAAATCATCAACATAAAACAAACAGTACAGTTTCTTTTGCCCCTCCTCTTTGACAAATACACATGGATCAGCTTTCCCTTGCTGAAAACCTAGAGAAAACAATACTTCAGTGAGTTTTGTGTGCCAACACCGTGCACTTTGTTTGAGACCATAAAGGGATTTCTTCAGAGCACAAACAAATCCCTGTTTTACCTGTACGCCATCAGGTGGAAGCATATAAAGTGATTCATCTAGAGATCCGTACAGAAAAGCTGTATTAATATCATGGTGACTAATGTGTAGATTTTCCTCTGCAGCTAGCTTGAGCATAAGCCTAATGCTTTCATATCTCACTGTGGGTGAATAGGTCTCGTGATAGTCTTCACCTGGTACCTGTGCAAAACCTCTGGCTACCAATCTGGCTTTGTGTCTGACTATCTTGCCATTTTGATCTGTCTTCGCTTTGAAGACCCATTTGCTTCCAAGCAGTTTCATTCCTGGAACTACTGGAACTAGCTCCCATGTTTTGTTCCTTTCTAAGGAATCAAGCTCAGCCTTCATGGCATTTAACCATGGCTCAGCTTTCTTTGAATCCAAACCCTGGATTTCTTGGAAACTTGAAGGTTCAAATACCTTCTTGGAGCTTTTAACAGCTGTTACTGCTATCGTAGCAAACTCATCAGCAAATCTCTTTGGAGGTTTGCCTTTTGTGGCTCTCTGTGACTTACGAATTATCCTTAAGTCTTCAACACTCTCCTCTTCCTTCTTAGGAGAAAAACGACCTATTGTGAACAATGGTTCCTCCAATTCTTGATCAGAGCTTTCAGAGGGTCGCATAGAGGCTTTCGCACTCTCGAAATCCTCTGAATCACCTGATTCAGTTTCAGATTCAGACTCAGAACCTTCATCAGTGGGTGTGGGTTGTTGTGGTTGCTTTTGACTATCCTCAGTCTCATCACCGTCATCAGGATAACATTGGAAAATTCCCACATTCTCCCCCACTTTGCATTGTACTCAACACTTCTCGTGAGCTTAATTGTCTTAGAGTCAGTCATCATTATTCTGTAAGACCCTTTCTGATAACCTAGAAAGATACCATGCAATCCACGCTTGTCTAACTTGGAGTTTTGTGGTGAGCGAACCCACATGTCAGAACCAAAAATCTTCATGTGTTTGATGTATGGCTTCTTGCCAAACATCTTCTCATAGAGGTACAACCAGTCGCTGAAGATAACCTGCGATTGTAACTGTAAACAAAACACGAGAGAGATTCGGCCCAATAACTCTCTGGAAGATTGGCATCATGCAGCAAGGTTTTAGACCTTGAAGCAAAGTCTGATTTGCCCGTTCCGCAAGTCCATTCTGCCATGGCGAGCGAGGACTAGACAAATCGTGTTGAATTCCTTTCTCAGTCAGAAAAGCTTCAAACTGCTGAGAAGTGAATTCCCCCCCCGCGATCACTGAAAAGAGTCTTTATCTTCTTACCATGCACATTTTCCAACCAAGCACAGAATTCCTTGAACCTAGGAAAAGCCTCCGATTTCTGCTTGAGATTGTACACAAAAATATATCTAGAAAATGCATCAATGAGAACCATGAAGTATCTATTTCCACCCAAAGAGGGCGCTAGTGGTCCAACCAAATCAGCATGAACAACCTGGTATGGTTCTGTAGCTTTCCTACTAGACACCTTACCTTTCGCAGCCATTTTCACCTTGTTTGCTGCGCATGCTTTGCACTTCATGTGGTACCTGCAGGGTTTAATAGTCATACCTTCAACCAAGGCAGGCATTTTAGATACTGCCTCAAAATGCAAATGACCAAATTTTCGATGAAAATCGTGAATACATTCTGCATGCAAACTTTTGTTAGAACCTGCAATGCAACAAGTGTCATCCTGCACCACATCATCATAATACAAAACAAACAAACGATCAACATATTCTGCATGCAATACATAATCATTTTTCTTTGTGATGATGCACTTCTTGTTCTTGAAGGAAACGTCAATGTTCCGCTCATTCAGCTGTCCAACGCTGAGCAGATTATGTTTGGCGTCTGGCACGTAAAGCACATTCTGTATCGATAAGTCCAAACTGTGAAGAACAACAGTTCCGTAGCCTTTACTGGGAATAGTGTGGTCATCCGCCTGGTGAATCGCACCTTCCTGCGGTGTAAAAGACACAAACAGTCTCTTATCGTTGCACATGTGGTGGGTGGCCGCTGAATCAACAACGAAGAAAGATCTAGACGTCTTCTGGACCTCTGCAACCTTTGGAGTGAAGCGTGAAACCATAGCCTTGTGCTGCGTTGTCCTAGACACCGGACCTTTGCCTTTGCCTCGGCCTTTTCCGCGCGATGAGCTTTCGCTGCGCTGCTCTGTCTTGGCCCTGGGATGTCTGCATTCCCTCTTCATATGGCCTAGACGTCCACACGAGTAGCATTTCACTGCCTTCAAAGCTATGGCGCCATCTGGTGGTTCCACTGCACTATGGGATGACGTCTGTGAAGACTCCCCTTGCCCATGCAGCTAGCACCCGGCGATCTGCTTCATTTAAAATCACGGCAGT